CGTTACTTCCTGTCTTGTAGTCTGGCATTTCAGTAAATATCTTTCAATTTTGCCTTTATAAGCCACTACTCGATCTTGATACTCTTGACTTTGTATGATTTCACTCTCTAATTCCTCGCTCTTATCAAAATAATTTTCAATTTTTAAATCAAGAGCCTTTAAAGTTTCGTTTTTTTCATTTAACTGATTTAGATAATCATACAAATCAGGATAATCAGGAAGTGTTTCTAATAACGATTTATCAATTTTATTTATTAATTTTGTAATCAGCTGTCTGATTACTGCTCTTTTGGACTTTAATTTTTCAAAATCATCCATTATAAACAGCTCGCACGTTACTATAATAAATACAATACAATTAATGCAATAAAATATCAAAATAAATTACCGACTTAAGGGAGACCAAACAAAACAAATGTTAACTTACATTTCATGCAGGTGGCCTATTTTCGGCCGGTGTAGCACCATGAATTCGAATTCAACAATAATTACACAAATTGTAATAATAAAAAGGATTTTATTTCATTGTGGTTCAGTGGTTAAATCCAAACTGAAACTTAAGAAGTGAAGAAAAAATAATAAAAAAATTGTTTGCGCTCAGCGCCATCTGGTATTATAAATCCTCAACACCTTCTCTTAATACCGAAATCACTAAATTTTCATTTAGTTTCCCAGGTGTATTGATTCTTCATTGGTAAATATAACTTTCTCAAGAAGGACTTCTTACACTTTCTCTAATTGTATTCTTGAATTTTCATCTATTTCATCACATTTTAGAAAAATGGTAATTTTTGTGAGCATGCTTAATGATAATTTTAAATCTCTACATGAAGTAGTTTCTTTCAATTGAAAAGTTTTAAAACCTACTTCAGTGAATTCAACTAGTCTACCTGTAGTAGCACAAAATGTTCTGTTGTCAACATAGTATTAACACAATCTTTTTCATATTGAAAAGTTTTTACATTTGAAATTATTTTTATTGTCTATATTATAAAATCTTTTATTAGTTAGGTTCTCAACTTAGTATATATTAACACAATCTTTTTCATATTGAAAAGTTTTTACATTTGAAAATATTTTTAGTGTCTATATTATAAAATCTTTTATACCCTGCAAACGTCATTCTCCAGCTTTTTCATTTGACTGAATACAAGCTCATGAAATTCAACCAATGGTTTATGAAATCCAATATCTTCTTCCAGCTTTATTTCATTATTTTTCCTAATTTCAGTTTATAATTAGCTAATTTTATATCATTTTTTAACTGCTCTTTTGATTTTTTATATCTTTCTTTCAACTTTGTTCATTTATACACAGTAAAATACTTCAGTTATCAAACGTTCGAAACAATGTTTGCTAATTAATGGAAGAATTCAATAGTCTCAGAAAAATCCCAATCTTAAAATTAAAAGATTTGAAACCTTGGATAGAAGATCTGGTATCATTGAGACAAATAAATACAAAATTCAGTGATAGTGCAGTGGTAAAATTAAACATAGAAATAAAGGAAAAAAATATTTTTTTTAAAAAACATGGAAAATTTTCTAACAAAGCCATTAATGAAATTAATCAAAGTGACCAAATTATTTTTGATAATGAAGGTGTGATTGATGGAAAATATGAATACATTTTAATGGGTGGTACATAAAACAACTTATTTCATTATTAACTTAATTTATTTCAGTTATCAATTTATTATCTAAACCTCATGAAACCAAAAAATGTTTTAATATTTTGTTACCTAAAATGGCTATAAAATAAAAGTTAATACATAAAAATTCGAAGCAGTAAAAAATTAGTATCTTTTACAGTTCCTAAAAATTGTATAATTTTGATAAAAATATCTTAAGTTTAGTATTGATTTTATAGTTTGTTTTTTTTTAAATCGTTAACTAATTTTTAATGTCTGTGAAACCACATGAAAAAAGTATAAAATTGTTTAAAAAGCATTATATATACTTTTCTTTGTTTCTGGATATGAAGCTAAAAACTAAAAATGCACTATCGTATGGGACAAATACTACTACTCTTAAATTACATATTAGGCTCTCAATCAAAAACATTCCCTCAATCTCTGAAATTACTTATTCAAAAAAAAAATAAATAAATAAATAATAATAATTACCTTAAATGTTTTGTACCTCCTAAACCACATATTAGGTTCCCAATAAAAAATAGTGGTAAAGGCCATATCTAAAAATAAAATATATTTTAGTTATAATTTATTATTAAAATTAGATAAAATGAAAATAAAGTGAAAAAAGTGAAAATCTTAATATAATGACAATGAAGTTATTTTAATACCTTTTTTACAACACTCAATTAAGATAGAAACATCCAGAGTTGTTGTGGTTATTTTGCTTTAATGCTATACTGATGATACATAATTTAACTAATCTCAAGCTGCTGAATGAAATAATTTCTCCTACAATTTTATAGATTCCTACAATATTTTAATTATTTCTCCTACAATATTTTAATTCCCCTACAATCTACCTTTTGCACCAACAAGCAATGTTATATTTATCACAGTTATCATGTAAAAGACCATTATATATCGAAGATTTAAAACATTTGAGGCTCACATCTGGCCTCCTGTGCCACAAGTTGTGCAGTTCTAATTACTGAAATGTGATACAATAATAAAATAAATTAAAGTTAAAATTGGCTTACTCAAACTCATATTTGCTAGCAAACATGATTATGTTAACTAATGCTAAAAACAAACAATTTCATATATTTAATATTAATTCATTGCTTTCATTTTCCTTAAAGATTAATCTAATAATAAATTTATGGAATAACTTCTTGCAATTTTGCATTTATATTGATCTTAACGAGATCTGATAGATTTTGACAAGATATTTTTAACATTAGTTCCATGGGTGACTATAGCTAATATATAGCTAACCTTCAAAATTCCATCTTAATTTGCTCTGCAATTTTGTTGAAAATGTTGATGCAAAATTCAGAAATAGCTCTATTACACAAAGCTTGTCCTGTTTAAGAAGTTGAATTTTGAGGCAGTTATTTAATGTAAGTACAATAAAGTTATTGTAAAAAAAATAATGCAAGCATTAAGCATTGTTGTATGAACATTAATTGTTAAATAAAACAGTGCATTACATACTGAAATAATATACAATTAAACATATTAACTACAATAATAATTTATAATTAAATACTCCTAAAAGTAAATTATATTAATTTCTTAAATACACAACTGAATGGATGCATATTTAAGAAGTATAAACATTATACTCAATGCCACTTTTCTTAAACATACATTTCTTAAATATTGTTAATTGTTGATAAGCTCAAAAATATTAAGAATTTACATCATTGATGATATAAAAACAACTATTTATGACGATGTCTGTAGTTTGTCTACGATAAGAGCTACCCCTCACCACAAAGTCTGAGGCAGGCTGCTGCTATGGAAACAAGAATAGTGTATTTCAGTAGCTTCACTTCACTCTAGTGTTAACACAATAGAGAAAAAGATTATCTTTCTCTAACATCCCCAAGCCAAAACTTGTTCAAAACAGTAACCCCACACCCCTACATGAAATAGTTGCACCATAGTCACTGCCACAGGTTAAAACAAATAGCTAGGGCAGTTCTTACTTTAGACAAACTATATTTGCTGTTATAATATTGTGGAAAATTCGTAGGTTATAGTCCTGGAGTAAAAAGAATTTTGTGCTGACATTTGAAAAAATAAAACAATATATATATATAGAAGCAAAATATTTTAAAAAGCAAAATAATAATACTTACTTTTCTAGGAACATCGCTAGAAATAGATTGAAATTTAATAACTTTTAGAGATTTGCCAATATACAGGGTTAAAATGGTTACCAACATCTGAAATATACATTTGTAGTAGAATTGCTAACAGTTTAATACAGTTCAATTCAGAAATTTCAAAATTTAACATAAATAAATGCTAATATGTTTTCTACATGAGATTTATTTGTCTTTTCCAGAAATCTGTAGCAATGCTGTTCTATAATTGCACAGATAATTCTCTATATCAATATTAAAATACAAAATTTAACATCCAATTTACAGACCTTTCATTAGTTAGATTTTTTTTTATCAACTTTAATCTATTTAAGAATGAGATTTAAAAAGTATTATAGAAAAATTTCATAGAATTAAATTTTTTAACAAAAAAAAGTTTGTTCCCTAGTAAAAAAGATGAGTTTATTAGAAAAGATAAAAACTGTGAAAATGACGAAAAAAAGGCAATAAGCAATGTTAAAATTCATTAATAAATATATTTCAATAGATTGATATGGCAAACAAATTTAAATGCTGCCAACCATGGCCAAGCACCTAGCCCATTCAAGAGCGCTATCTTTGAAAATCCATGTAATCTTGACCCCAGTCAAACGATGTGCTCTGCACCTGAGATGGTAACCCACTCTTCAAACTTCTAATCCGCAAAAAAATTAAAATCCTTAGAAAATTAATTAACAACCATGCTCATTGTGATATTACATAGATATCAACGTTTCAAATTTTCTAGTAAATTTCTGCAGAAAAGCAAACCAAAATTTTGTACTTCCCAAAATAAAAATCTTTCTGCAAGAACTCTGTAAAGTTCTGCGACAGTGTTGGCATGGGGCTGAATCCCATTACTACTTATATTTCTTTGATTAATGTATTTTGAACTTTCCTAATTTATAAATGATACTCAACAACATAAAAACAAGTTTAAAGAAATCAAAATTGCATACAATAAATCTAAAGAATTTAAAGTAAATAGTAACTTTCATTTCTAAATGAAAAATCTACAATCAATATAACACTTTCTTTTTTCATTCAAATCAACTTTAACAAAGGACAATTTAGTTTGTGGCTTTTTCAAGTTTGATTAAACAAATTTTAGGATGGCCACAGACACCCAGAAAAAAATTTACTGACTTTTCTAAACTAATTTTATCAAATTTCCCCAATTTTTTTATAAATGCATAAATTTCATTATTAACCTTTTAGCCCAATTCTTATTCATAAAATTAGTTTATATCTGCTATCAAATTAACATGTTTTTTTTTTTAAATTATTACAAGATAAATATTTTTAAACAAATTTAATTATAATTCATTAATTAAACAAGATAATAAAAAATACACTCTAGTTCTAAAACAAAACTAAAGCAGACTACTATCAAAAATCAATAATTAAGAAGAAGTATTGAAAATAAATTAATAATAAGAAGAAAAATAATCACCTGACCAATACCAAGAGCATGAGTGGAAGGAAATCTATAAATATATTAATATTAAATAAAGTAAAAATATTAATATTCAAAATAAAAATAGTAATTTCAATAAGGATATATAGATTTATTGTATATTAAAATGCAGATAAAAAAATATTTTTTGATTTATCCGTTTCATAGAATTCATGCAATATTTTCGTTAATTAGCTTCAATCAGAGTGAAAAAAATAACAATTTATAAGCCTAACGCTTTTTTTTTTCCAAACAAATTATTGAACGAATATCAAACATTATACCAAACATTAGTATACTGCCCAAAATATTTAAATTATTTTTAGTAGGGTTGACTTGATTTTGACTCACTCGAAGAACCCCAAGAGGTTTTTTATAAAAATAAAAAAATTCATTAAGAAATCTTACAAAACTCATAAGAGAAAATATCACAACTGCCAAAGAAATTTTTAAAATATTGCAAGAGCTTTTTGTTTTTACTTAAGTGATAGAGAACAAAAAGTATAAAAATTATGTACATAAACAAGACAAAAACAAACAAAAAAAAACTATTTATACTACATGGAAGGCTTAGGTTATTATCAGCACTATGTAAATCAATTTTAAATGCCAACAAGTCAGTCACACAAATTTCCCCATCAGCTTTAAATACACGGAAACAAATACAGTAGGGAACCGATTATCCGGAACGGTCGGGACCATCGCTATTCCGGATAACTGATTTTTCCGGTTTTCTGAATCACTACAAAAAGCCGTTTTTTATTTATTGTTAAACCCAAATAAAAAAATTTAAAAATTGGAAATAATCTTAAAAATAAGAAAAAACGATGAAGTAATACACTAATGATTATTTCTAAAATGATGATAAGGTAAACATCTTTAAAAAAAGAAAGAAAAATCGTAAAATCTTATGAGGAAAAAAAACATTTTTAAATGGCGAGAAAATTTATCGAATTTCACTCCGGTTTTTTGGTTTTCCGGTTTTCTGATTTCCGGATAACGGGTTCTGTACTGTACATACCAATAATTGATTGACAAAATAAATTTTTATGGGTTTGAGGACATTAAAGTTTGAATTAAAAAAAACTAAATTAAAAACTAACAAACTGAAAAACTAACATGAAATTCTAAATTAAAATTTCTGTGAAATTTTAATACATTTTTGTTTTTAATAAACATGATTACTAAGTAAATACTGATTTCTGAAAATTTACAAACTCTTAATATTTCAGACTTTAAAGCATTTTATTTCTAACTACCTCTACTACTAGTCTAACTACTTCTTTTGATAACTTTAAAGGTATAGTTTACTATTTTTAACTCAATTCACAAAATCAGTTAACTAGCGCTTTTATTGTAAATAGTTTCACTTTATATTAATACTTAATTTCAAAGTCTCTTCTTCAGTTAAAAACAATGTGACACATCTGATATATATTTTTAAATAAATTTTATATAAAATAGAGTATAAATAGTTTTAGACAAGAGTATACAGAAGGAAATACTTTAGTTAAAAAGAAAGTATTTATTTAGACAAGTAGTTTACAGGATTAATTTATTCAACTAAACACATTTCATCTTAATACTTCTATTATGGATTGCACCTGCTCTCATTAGACCTAGAAATATATGTCTGAAGATGAAAGACAAAATATATCATCTCTAATCAAACTATTATCAGGGGTCTGTCTAGGTTTTTCTGACAGGTACTTATTTTGTGAAAATTTAGACGTAATTTGTGAAAAATTAAAAATTTTATTAAAAAATCAAAGCAAAAATATGGATTTATCGTTTCTTAAGGGATACAAAAATGAAATTTTAAGAAAAAGTATTTTCCTAAAATTGAATTTGTGAAACTACCGTTTATCCTAGAGTTGAGTTTGTGAAGGTACCGCTAAACGGTAGTAAATTCGGCCTGGACAGACCCCTGATTATACACTGTTAATACTGTTTCTCATTTGACAGCTGTACTACAAAAAATATTTTCTAGTTTTAGATAAGTTCAGTCTAAACTGAAAAGATTTTTTTTAAAAATTAAACTTTTATTTTAAGACATGTCCAAAAAAAGAATATATTTTTAAAAATTTCGTGACATTTACAATCTTTGCTAAAGTGTAGGAAAGATATCTGTGTCATTAAAATAGTTCTGAGCGCAAAAATAGTAGCCAAGTTTCGGTAACTATCACACAGTGGCAAGTGAAAAACTAACAAGAGAGTCAGGGAGATTTCCGTATCATGATCTGCGGCAGAATAATCGCCAAGTCTTGGAAACTTCCGGGCAGTGGCCTGCGAGAAACTAAAAAAAGACATCACAGAAAGGGACTAACTCGAAAGGTATAACTCGTAGCCACCCCTGGGCAAACATCTACAGATTTTTTTTCTTTTTTAAATTTGCAAGTTAAAAATCTATTTGGCCCCTTGGCGATTGTAGTTGGTGCGATAGATCACAATATGGAAATATCCTCAGAGAGACAAACTGGAAGGGTATTATAACTGTAACTTCTAATTAACCCCATTTATATATTTTCGTTTTATAACTATTTGAAAGTATAAACTTTCTTTAGTAAGAAACTAGATGACATCGATATGAAAGAATGGAAACATCTTCTATGTTTTCTGAAAATTTTTAACTTATTGCTTAAATATGAAGTCATGAAGAAGATAGCTTAAATAAAATCATAATATTTTATAAAATCAATACATAAATTTTAAAATTCTGTACTAGAATGTTTGATACTAAAATTACCAACGAAAAAATTTTCTGACAAAAAAATTTTAACGGACAGTAAAATATTTAATACGATTACAAAATACAACATTTTAAGGTTCTAAGAGTATTTGAGAAGAAAGTTTAATCCATAGCTGTCATGAACCATCCCTCGTCAAAACCCGGACAATCATGTCTCTAACTCCCATTTGAAAAACAATACACTGTAATTAATTAATGCTCTGTAAAATAAAATTTTAACAAAAGAAAATTCAACAATAAACAGAACAGAGTAATTTACAATAAGTTTACTTGTAGTTTGTAAGCACAATTTTGTTTATAACTATAATTAAAAACGAGGATGTCCCATAAAATATTGCAGAAAATATACGCCAGAAATATAAATTTGCATTGTCTTTTGTCATGGTGTTAATGTCATTGATAGAAATAGCTACTTGTTCATAAACATTTTTATTCAATTCTTTAGAAAAGTCTTGTGCTCTTTTGGGTGAATCAATCATCACACTATGAATGAAGTAGCAATTGTGTTACAAAATTTTAATGCTAACAAAAATTTAGCAGGTAGAAAACGCAAATATGCATTTTTAATTTATCTTAATTATAAACCAAATTGCAATTCCCTGGAACACAAATAAACAAATGAAAACTTGGAACGTGACAGACACAGTTAAATTACATATTCATGTTATTAAAGAATTGATGTTTAAGTTTTTTTAGTTTTTTAAGTTTTTTTTTTTTTTTTTCGAGCTTTTACTTGACATATTCTAAGAAAAAATTGAGTTTATGACTAGAATATATCTTAAGTAGTTAATAAAAATAAATTCTTCTTCTTCTTTTTCAAGTTGTAGACATCATTATATCGTTCGTTTAACAAAATATGTATTTATGAACCAATTTATTCTGTTTGAGCGGAATGAACAGTTGATCTTTTGCTCATGTTTATTTGGAACGTTATAATTGAATAAATTATTTAAAAAAATACTTACATTTTCATTACATATGTATAAGTTTCCTTTTTATATAAATTAGACAAATGCAATTTTCATTTTGTTTATTAATGTTGTTATGTTTTCTTTTAAAGGAAAAAGTTACTAATCAAAAAATAATGTGGTTTGAAAATTTAGAAAGTTTCTTCACATTCAAATCAATAAAATTTTTCAAAAGATATTTAGTTATCAAAAACACTTTTATTAATCCTTGCTTTCCACTAATGAGTATTGGGATGAAGTAAAAAAAATTGTTTTTGTTTTTATTTAATCTCTGAAACCTTTGATTTAACAATAAAATATTTTAAAATAAGCACTTTAGGATATTCTTTATTATTTAAGAAAAAATGTGCAAATGATTTTAAAAAAAAAAAAAAAAAATATTGTGTGTTTCTTGCTTTTTAGATGAGAATGGTAGTTCGAGGTTAAAGTAGTATTCGTGGAAAGATATAATGTCGGACCGTGAAAGTGGGGATGAACAGCATCCTGCCCAAAGTATGTTTGTAAATTTCTCTTTATCTATTCCAGAGATTCTAACCTATTTCATATTTTGCAAGAAACTAATATGCATTGCAATTTAGAAAAATACCTCCTCGCTCTTATCATTTTGATACAATGTATCAATTGGCGGGTCCATGATCAGCAAACATGGCGAGGAAGGCAACACTCATCTACATAGTATAATTTTAAGAATTGATAGATTTCTATTCATAATTTCTAATAAATATTTATTCAGAGAGAAGTTTCAATTACGATATTTATTGAAGAATTTGTTTTATTGTGTACTAAGCTGATCTGATGAATATGCTGCATTAATTTCCCGTCAAGATGTGAAGTTGAAAATTCGTTCACATGTCTAATACAACCTTAATTTTAGTTTTTAATAGCAAAAATGAGAAAAATTGAGTTATTCAAATTTCGTTAAAGTTAATTAGTTAATTCATACGATATGGAAATAAGGTATATCTTTCAACCGCATACTTAGTGCTTACATGTACTTTAGTGGTTTATGTAGTAATGGAAGTACTAGACTAGCGCCTCTATTAAATAGTGGAAATATCTATGTAAGATCGAAATCCATTCAGAATAATTTACAAAAATTACGAAATATATAATTGTTGATCATTAATAAGTGATATCTTATTAATACTTATTACAGATATAAAAAAAACTATACAATTCAATTTTTTTTTTAATCTGTTGTATAGATTTGTAATTTTAAGTAGATTGATAATTTTGAAGTATTTGCATAGTGTTTTTGCTCATTTCATGCTCTTAAATTTCAGTTTTTATTAAGGATTCATCCAATGTCTCAGTAATAGACAGAATTTAATATAAGGATAAGATTTTTTGGGGTAATGATTTTCTTAAGATCATTGTTTTCATATTGTGTAGGTGTATAAGTTAAGAAAATTTACTTCTTTGAGGACAAAGCATTGCTAGTCCATACACTTTTTACTGGTCTGTTTTTATATGTCTCTATTAGATTTTTTTTAAAAAATTGCAATAAAGAGAATAAGTAACTTTTTCACAATAATGATTAAATATCCTTTTTGGTGACAAAAATCTGGACCAAAGCATAAAATCTAAAAACCAATACAGAATACTATCTATTTGCATCATTTGCTGGTCCAAGAAATCACTCATATTTTATTTTTTATCCTGGTTTAAGTTAAATTTTAGTGGACTCTTCCACCATCTTTAATTTTGAACATTCTTATTCTTTTCAAGGTAATATAAAAGCTCTGTCTAATGTCATTTTTAGAACAATCTGTATGTATGTACATTATAAAATATTTTTCACAATTTATGAGTACTTAAATTTTATTCTACTGTGATATGACCTTCAAAATCAGATCAAAGCCTTAAAATATTTTTGCAGTTAAGTAAAGTAATTAATAGTTTGTTCATAAATAAAGTAGTCGTACACAAATTGTGACACAATTTGATATTCTAAATATGTTCAATGCCAATACCTGTGTACCTTATCTTGCAATAAAATCAAGTATTACTTTGTTTGGAGTGTTGTTTAGCTTTTTATTTACTTTTGTAAGTTTTCTATATCAAGAAAAAATAATCAGGCTAAAATAAGATTGGTAAAAAACTTAGTTTTTTTATGTTTTAAGAGAGAATAATGCTCATTATTTACAAAATGTAATTTTAATTTATGAAAGAAACACCTTCATAAGACTTTTATAATAACATAATAAAATTATTTGAATTGTGTGGGAATTGCCTATGTTTAGAAAAAATATGTATTCTGTACTTAACATCTGTAGGTCATGCATGTAGATTGTAAAAAAAAAAGCTGCCATTTTCTGAAAAGGCTGGCTGACTTTTCTTTTAAATCACAAAATTCACTTGTAACATGCATGTATTTAAATTTATTTTATTGATATAGGATTATATTATTAAATTATATTTTTGCGTCTTAAAAATTGCAGAATTTTGATTTTTAATTTCTTAACTGCCACAATGTTGGGAAATAATGTAACCGAGATACGGTTTGTGTTTCTCGTCGCAGCTAGCCTGTTATAAAAGAAGAGATTATTCTTTGGGGGAAAAAACTTTTACAGAAATGTTATGAATAATATTTGTGTGATTATATAGGATCAGACATTAGCAAGCTTTTCAGAACAATAATTTTAAAATGTAGAAGAAAAAAAATATTAAGATTAAGGAAAGTTTCAAATTTCTGCAGTGTTTAAATATACAAGATAATTTAGACATCAAAAATAAAAATTTGGCTGATATATTTTGTTTTGATAAAGTAATATTTTTTGCAATTTGTTTAATTAAAAATAGATTAGTACCTATACTAATTTAAAATTTTAATTTTCAGATTAACTTAACTATAATAAACAAATTTTACTTATAAATTTTTGGTTTTATTTCTTGAGAGTATTTATTATATTGAATTAACATTAGAGAAGTTGAAATTATTTTAATTATAAAATTTGGGTTTATTTCCTGGCCGGATGTTATAACGTTTATGTAATATATATATATATATATATATATATATATAATATATAAGTGCAACAACCCCTATATTTTGGTGGATTTATTTGTCAAGAAAGCAGGAATAATGAGAACATATTGTGCACAAGATTTTATTTACTAAATAGATCGTGAAGCCGAAGTCACATCCCCGCTCTCCCGGCTGGAGAGGGGGGACAAAGTTCCAGTCAGATCCGACGGAGTTTAGTTTGTAAACATTATACACCAAAAAGTCACGCAAAAACATTGCTCCTGCATTTTATAGGATGATTTTTAGTTGTAAAGAGGCCCAGTCATATGCCTTTTTCTGTATTCTTACGCCTCATCAATTTATTTATTACTCATAGCAAATCGTTTAATCTTTCCTTATATGGAAGTGAAAGATCTTAAAATAACTTCTCTTTT